CGAAATGACGTGCGATATTCAATTGTTAAGAGAAGCCCTCACGGGGCAAGAATTAAAAACCCAAGTATAAACAGTCGAGTATAAACATCGCTTTCCACACGCTAGTGTCCTACAATAGCGTCAAGTGTGTATGTGTACTATTCAATTAAATCTACCCGAGAAAATTCACTTTTATTGTGTTATAATTAAGGTATACAGCAGCGGATCAATGCACGCTGAACATAAACCAAGGCTTATGGAAATTAACAAAATTCATAGAAATCTCGAAATATTTTTAGCATGTCGTCTGTGTGAACAAATATCTTGTGTTGCTGAAAGACACGTACGATAAATGATAGACCCTGCAGTTCCCTTCCTTAATATCATGTTATCTTTTCTTAATACCATGTTAACAGCGTTTTGCGGTTAAATTTTTTGTTTATTAAAATATCGAGTTTATTGATTATTTCTATGCTTGCAGTTCGAACTGATGCTTCTGCGAGTTTCTCTTTGGTCAGCAGATGACGATAGCCTTCTTAGATAACCCCGTAAATTATTTGCAAGAATCGACATGTAGATTTTCTCCCACTCAGATGTATTTGCACTTCATGAAGGTTAGTTCAAAAACATTTGGAGGAACTGGGTATTTAACAAGTTTCCTTAAAACAGTACATCACACTACTGAAACTTGCGATTACAGAAAGTTCTCCGTAACTGAAAGTCCACCAGATTTATCCTTTGTACCCGCTGAGGTTATATAGGAACATAAGCTTTTCATGGAGAATTATCAAAATAATCAAATGACTAACTCCTTCCCTTAATGCGATGCCTCTTGTGCTATTTTTTAGTTTTCTTCACCATTACAAAGAATTCGTTCTTCATACTCAATGCTTCTTAACTCTCTTGATTTCCCGACATCCACAACACTTCTCTCAAATACACCACTGTCTCACAAGCTTTGGTGAATTCGATGATGATTGATTGTTAGTGATTTAGAGCGCGTCAACTGCTGAGGCTGTTAGTTCCGTAAGTGTAGTGCATGCTTGTTTTTTCCTCCGGAGGTGGTGATTTGATTTATGATCTTCCTCTCCTGGATGGCGATAACAGGTGCCGACTTGCCATCGGCTAACAAGGTTCTCTCCAACCGGGTATCTCCCATCAGCGCGGCACCACAATTGCTCCCGGTCTCCCGGTATATAGGGTAGTGTAGTGCATGTTACGGTAAATGTGTGTAAGTAAGGGGGGAGGATAGGACAAGGACGAGGAAGGAAAGATCGCGGGCGGTTCATGGTTCGTTTACAAGGGTCCGGCATTCGCCTGGTGTTGATCAGAGGAACCACAGAAAACTACCGATCAGAGCAGCCGGCCGCTAGAATTCTCCTCCAGACAGCGGCTGAATTAGGTAACAAGCTACTGTCGAAAATCCTTCCACTGGCGGGGCTCGAACCTACTACCTCCCTGTCAGAGGCACTGCAGTGACATCAGTGGACGCCCTCAGCCTCATAAAAATTTCAAAATATTGAATGTTTAATAATTCCAACGAAGAACGCACATGACAGTTTGGGTGAAATCTGTGAATAGATTCTTAAAAAATATCCCATTTTGTACAGATTTGGCGGGGGAAACATGTACTTCAGGGTTGAATCTTTCTCTTTTTCTCGCACTAGGTTGCAATAATGAGATTTCCAATATTTAATGTTAGTAACTTAGTTAGAATTTCTATTACGACTCTCTCTCCCTCTCTCTTTCCATCTCTCTCTCTCTCTATCTCTATCTCTCTATCTATCTATCTATCTATTTATCTTTATCTATACTTATCTATATCTTTGAACTGTAAGTAGAATCATTCCTTGCCCTATCTAATATATAATTGTGATAAATAAATACTCCGTTAATGCCGTGTTATTTTGCTCGTTCCTTTGAATGAATTCCTTCCGATGATTCCTCCTTGCGAGGCGTGTCTCTCCGGGCGGGAGACGTTACGAAGGCGCTTGCTAACAGACGATAACGACGTGAATATTGGTGTGTAAGGACTTAACAACCATATTATAATGAAACTAAATTACATTAAATTCGGAAATTCTTGGGCCCGTTAGGCATGCTTCATTGACATAGAGAAAGGAAGAGAAGACTTGTAGAAGTAGAACTAAGGGGCTGTGGTGTTGGGTGTGACATTACAATGCAGCTTTACTTCTTTCCGTTGACTACCTTTTTTATTATGAAATTTTGTCTTATGTGTGAGAGATTTGAATATCTCATCATACTTGTCAGGTGACTCCAAATTGAAGCCCAGTATTTGACTGTAGGAGTGCTCATTCTAACAGCCGACTGGGTGAGTGAATTTAGAATAGGAAAAGAAAGATTACACGGAGTCTGAAACAATTTGTTGTGATACTGAGCCAATATAGATGGCCCAGTTCCAAAAGGCGACATTTTGAGTTTTGAGTATTGCCACTTTAAACTTTAGTAACGCTCTGAACATGTCAGTTACATGGCATAAAATAGAAATTTATTATAAATTTTGTACTAATATGCCATCGTCTTGAAACCACAGGTCCTACAGACTTTCTCAAACTAGTTTCGTTTCTAATCTCTTTGAAATTTTAAAAGTGTCCCAGAGATCTTAATAAACAATCCCCCAAAAGTTTACGAGTTCTTTCTAAAATTTCAGTATTTAAGTTGGGCCAGGTCAATGGGGAAATATCCATTTTGAAAAACAAAATCCCATGATTAGTTTGAGCACTCGTGTTGTTCACAAACGTACGGACGTTTAAAACAAAAACAAACGATTTTCCGATAGTAACCACCAAATGTAGATTCTGAAAACGCTGCCTGATAGAGAAGGCATTTTACTATCTATTGGATAAAGAAGAATTCTCTATGACAGTATCAGAGACACAGAACGGAAAAAGGGGAGGGGGGACCAGCATTTTTGCCTCAATATTACATAACTTTCTCTACACCAGATCTATTACAACTACGTATACGAGAAATTTAAAAAGGGAGAGTTGCTCAGGAAATAAAAACTTTTAGTACTTAGCGTCTAATGCGCGAAATTGGTTGTGTGCGAGGTCAATAATGTTCTCGTAACCAGATATAGGTATTTGTATGTATGTATGAAGAAGGTTATACATTTCGTCATTGTGAAGTACGTTTTGGAATGTATAATTAATCACGCATTTTAATTCTATCGGAATGAAATGTAAAGTGAAGTACGTGCTTTCTAGCGCGCTTGTCAAATATCAACTGGTTAAATAAATTAAAATATAAAAAAAAATATTTTGAAACTTCAAATGTTCCACATTATCGTGAATTGAAGTAGTTTTGATTTAATCTATAGCAAGTTTTAGGAGTACTTGCAGTAATGTAATTATTACATTGTTATTAAATTTTACGTTCTTGTATACTACGTACATACGTAGCATAGGGAAATTATGTAATGCTGCGGGGAAGAGTATTTTTTCGACAAAAATCCTGCTTGTGACTCCCTGACACCGTAAAAGAGGATTTTACTCGCTCCAATAAGTTGTAAATTCCTTTCCAAAACGTTGTGAACCAAGGATGTTCAGAAAAGTAGTCAGGTTAATGCTTTTGTAACAAGACTGTGTTCCGCAGTTCCAAATTAGTAGCCAAATTTACAAGGCCTCAACTCCCAATCCCAACAAGGCCAAATAACCAGAAAAAAATGCCAAATCTTATGGCAAATTACAGTACCGAAAATCCAGTCCACAAATCTCGCAGGATCGTTATGCAATTATACAAAAAGGCAGTTAACCACACTTGGGCTATCGCGATAAGAAAGGGACCGTCGTGCGCGCCGCTTGTAGCGGCTCCTGTCCCACCTCTTTCCGTCGCAAGGATTTGAGGTGGGCAATCCCTATACACCACCGACTTGGTTTGCGCCACGGTGCTCTTGCGTTTTTGCTCCCGCGATGCCCTCTACCCGCGGAGCGTCGAATCACGCACTGTCTTTGTCGCGACTCCTTGATAGTGGCGGCCAGTTCAATCTGCTCTAACCGTAAGACGTAGACGTAAGACGTAAGACGTAGCGGAGTCAGAAGACACGTTTTGTGCTTCGTCCAACCGTCCCTTCGTCTCTCCATCTGTGGACAACATTATCGTTTAAGCTGTTCGTATGAATATTCCCCGATCTATCTCGCCCGATTTGAAGCCCTGAGATTTTGGAAAGAATTCTTTGAATTTTGAGCGTTCTTCATATGAAGCCATTGATATATTTTCAAATTTTCTCAAAAATGGCTTCAAATTGTTTCCTTAAATTTCTTTTAAGAATAGACTGAAAGACACTTGTACAGATTGCATATATCCAATTTCCACTATGTTTGTCTTTTCGAAAATTTCCTTCTTTCGAAAACATCTCTTTACTTCCCCTGTCTTTTCGAAAATTTCCAAAGGTTGACATTTTATTAAAAGTTTCGAAATGGTTGGACTCCCTTACACATCTAAATTTGTACGTTTTCGAAGAGAGAAATATTTTTCTTTAAATGAAATTCGTACTCCTTAATTAGTACTTTAATTAATGCTACGTACATTAAAAAAGTAGTTTCGACAAAAATTTTAGTAAAATATTAACAATATTAAAAACGACGTTTGCAGTGCTTTTGATTTTTTTAGTGACAAAGGCATTGCACATTATGTGCCTTATGTGTGATTGCGCCTGAAGTGAAATTACGAATTACGCCTTCCCAGGTAACGGGCAAATTTTATCATGAAACAATGTGTAATCATAGGAAATATGACATTGGTTTTCTATTATTGTATCTACAGTGTTCATACACAAACCAAACTTGTAATATTCAAAATAATTATTTTTTAATAGCATCATTTTCTGATTTCAATTTATGTATGTATATTAAATGAGAAGAATGCTGAAATGCACTTTATATATGTTTATTCAAATGTGATATCCAATATTGTGGAAATTAATAGGATCCACAAAATTTTGGGAATAAGATTAGAACATAATATTTTTTAAATTATTATTTTGGGTTTTCCATTTTCAGGTATTATGTTGCTGATAGCGCACACAGAGGCTGCGCGATGCAACTGTAATTGCACTCTTAATTACATTCCACTCTGTGCAGTTGATTCAACTGGTGATGAAGACACGTTTCCTAATCAGTGTGCATTGGAATGTTACAATTGTACACATAATAAAGGTGACAATTAATCTTCATTATTAAATTAAACCTTATTTATATAGTGTTTTATTTATACTGAACGAGTTAGCAACAAAATCTAATTAATCATGATTGTTTAGATTATGTAGTTCGCAGGCAAGGAGAATGTTCTCACACAACAACTGCACGTCCCCGAACAAGACCAATCTCTCGTACAGCATGAAGAAGAGTAGGAAATGTTTAGGCATAAATATTGCCATTCTTTAAAATGTATTGCTACAAATAATTGTAGGCTTCTAAAACATGTAAACATTAATTTGAACAATTAGTTATATATGTTTTGAGGAAATGTTCAAAATATCTAGTTTTGAAGGTAAAGAATGTTATTATTGATTTGGGTTAAAAATATAAACTTCTATCTTACCAAGCTGTGATATTTGACATATAAAAAGTAAATATTTTAATATACAATTTGTCTTTCTTATTGTTACTCTCTTGTTACTTTTGTAATAAAGGTGTAGAAATTTCCATATGAATAAACTTTTCCTATAGATACTTGTTTGTTTTTCACCTATTTTTGATTCATCGAATATCTGAAGCAAAAGGTAATTATTTCCAGAAGAAACCTTTTCTTAAGAACTTGTGTTATGTTACCGAAAACACATTCTTCATAATCAAATAAGAATGACCAATGCAATCTAAAGCTAGCAGCATCCAAACAAGACAACACTACGAAACAGTTTGCAAAATTCAAGGTTAATTTTAGGCTAATTAAATGCATACATTTAATTAGTTCTCAATTATTTTCCAATTTTAGACCCTTTTTATTTCAGCTCGTGGGTCCTCCACTCACAATACAACTTGGTATTAATCCAGGGAGTATATATTAATTAATCAAAGCAAACAATTAAGTATTCAAAATTAGAGGCTATAAAATTCATTTTAGACTAGAAAACAAAACAAAAACAACCAAATCATCGTTTTCTATTCAGGGTTGAACAAATATAATACGATAACATGCATTTTGAAAGACTAACATAAACTTATTTAAACTATGTTGCTACAGAATGGAACAGACTTCTCTTTCTATTTACTTTCGTTCGATTTCGAAATGTTTGTGTCTTCGTTGTAAAACACGCTGTGAGTAGCTTCGTTGTCGACATCCGCGAGGTGGTTTAGTGCGGCTGACCTGTAGTGTGGGCGTGGCTCACAACGCTGAAGCGGCAAAGCTCGCAACATAATGGTAGAAGGACGTTTTGGAGGCCTCCTTCTCGAAGCCTGAGCACCACGTTTTGTTATAGTAGCGTTGCTTCTGTGCACACAAGTAGAGTGAAGTGGTATGGAACCTTTGGTAAAAAATGTTGTTTGCAAGCAATTCTAGACCTGAATTTATTCAGTATTTGTAAATGATCACCACGACGAAATCATGAACAAAGTTACCTTGTATTGATTTTAACATTGTACTCTCTCCATTATAATTTCTGTATAACAGATAATTTTGTATTATCGTGTAAAGAAAACTGTCTAGAATAGAAGTTCTGTTAATTCTGTCTTGAATAATGTGTAGTCGTACTTTTCTCTTGTTCATTAGTACTACAGTGACTCATTGTAAATCTTAGCTATTTTAACTGCACATTCTTTGTTGAATCTGTACAATAAGAATATTTGCATTATTGCTAATAGCTTAATTTTTTGTTGTTTGTAAAGAGTCATATTTCTTTCCTGTCAATTCTTGTTAAGTTTGTATTAATTCTGTTTCAAGGAGATGTTTGCTACTTCTTTTAATTGAACAGTTTTATAATAAACTATCACAGTTCTATTTGGATTGGTTGTTTGTTAGAATGCTAAGTTTACTGTTACCAAAGAGTTAATACAGGGTGATTTGCTCATATACGACCCAGTGATAGAGTACACTAAGTTATTCATGATTGCAAAAGAGAATAGTGTAAACCCTGTTAAAAATTTTGAAAAAACTTTTTTTTTGCCATTGATCATATTTTGCAAAAAACGTAGCCCAAAAATTTCATTGAATATTATTCCCTGTTTATTTTTGCCTACTTATCTAACGAATATGAAAGGAGATAAAGAACTATTATTTAAGTAATTTTAAGATAATTTATCATATTTGGTATGAAGCAAAATTTCGTATTTTCACCTCCTGTAAAAGAAGCTCTACAAGTGTTCAAAATGGCCTCTTGCTTAACGCAAGATAGTCGTCTGCACCGCACACAACTTTACCTGGTTGTACCTTTATTTCTGCCGCCACGATTTCAATGCGCCGAAAGTCATCATGATCCTCAACTTCGGTAGCATAAACATGGTCTTTCATTGAGAGCGTTGACTTCCTCGGCCGGAGTCAGTATTAACTTGGCTGTCCGTGTGACGCCGCGTCCATGGCGAAGGTGCCGACGTTTCGGTCGCCATTCTGCGACCTTCCTCAGTGCGTTACGCCAAGTTAATACGGTCTTTCATTAACCACCAGCTCCAAAAGCATTGGGAGTACTCGAGTTAGAACATTCAGATACTGAACACCTCTTATACACTCAAGTAAGAAAGGAGGATCGAAGATAAGCTCATTCACAATGCCAACCGATACATTTACAGAAAATCGCTCTTGATGAACTACACTACGTGCAACATACAGATTTTCTCGGCCCTCACATGTTTTGAAATTTGTTTTCTATTATCTGTTTACACAGTTTTATGAACACGATCGTTTTTAAACACGTTCTACACCCAACGAAAAAGCCGTGTATTATTTTATTGCTTGCTAATACAAACATACCTAACAACAAAAAACAAAAGAGTATCATCGGTGCCAACATTGAACATTTGCATTTTAATGTTTGTACATTTCAACATCACAGGCAAAATGTACACATTAATTGTGCCAGTTCTTGTAAACTACGCTTCATGTGACCAAAGAACGAAATTCCTGTTTTTCTTTGCATTTGTGCAGGAAATGCCTAGAGAATTGAAAACTATTTTACAAGAGTCTACTGCGCAAATGCTGCACCCGCTGGAAATGGAAAGGTCGTAATCTCTTTGCGTTCGCCATACGAGGGGCTGTAATGCCTTGTGCGCGCGCGCTATTTGCCCTGTGCTCGCTTTCAGGGCTTCTTGGATAGTATTAACAACTGAGTTTTCCAGAGATGTGGCGTGCCCTAACGCGAGGTGAAACCGCTCGCTCACTTGCGTAGCCCATGTTACATGAACACGGCGCGTAGCTCAAAGTTTAAGGCTAATTATTTACAAAACTAAACGGCGAAGAGTATCCAATTTTTGTAAATTCAGGCTGTACATTACATACGGGATAAGGTTCCGGCGTATTAGCAACGAGGACTGTATCACTTTGAATAAAGTTATCTTCCCTGTTTTCTCCTTCTCCAACTTGATAAGTCTGATGAGTTATACATTTCTTAGCTTTTCATTTAATTGATAGATGGGAATTAAGGATAGGTTTTTATGGTTGTCGGACTTAAGCTTACGAATGGCGACCGTGATTTGTAATGTGGCATCTTTTATAGTGCGTAGTTTGAAATTAAACGCCATTCAATGAATCGAGCATTTAGAAAAGATTTGCCAATTTTCCGATTTTCAATGGTGAGTATTATCAAAATCTAAAAGTTTGTATTTAGTATTTCTAGCAATTGCTTATTTCTTGATAACAGATTGTGAAACCTTTATGACAAATTACTTGTGCAATAAGCACTATTATAAAATCCCATTCTCATTACTCAAAACGAAGTCCAAACATATGCAAACTTTTTTGTCATTAAAATTTATTTCTTAAAATGTTTTAAATATACTTGTATGTGTCAACAACCAATTTGAGTGAATATTTTTTCTAAATATGCATTGTAATAATTTAGTATTATTAGTCAGTAGTAGTAGTAGTAGAATAAATGTTCTCCACTAGTCAATAGCAGTGGAATAAATCTCTACTTGTCAGCAGTAGTGGTAGTTTTATAAAGCGAATGTACTTATTTGATTTGATTCCGGCATTTCGTAATCGATTCCAGCAAGAATAGGAAGCAAAGGAATCGAATACCGATTCCATAAGAATCGAAAGACAGGAATCGATTTCAGAATCGAGACGGCAGAATCGGAACGTTCCTTCATAGCGCCATGTTTAAGATGTTTGGTTGGTTGCAGTTGGGTTATGAAATGACGTTTCCAATGATGAGCGACGAGGACAATTTTTATTTAGTATATGATTTTAAAAGAATGAAGTGATTTATTTGGCGACTTATTTACTCTGCATTGTAGTTTCCTGATTCAAATGAAGCCTGTGAGGAGGCTACCTTCTGAAGTATGTTCTCTAGTCAGAAGTGGTGTGGTTATTCCAACACCTTCACAGGCGGCAGTTGAACTAGTAAGTTATATCACGTTCGATAATATTATGTGTTTTAGAAGTTATTACTGTGAACAATAACCATTAAACTTCATCTGTTTGTGATATGACATTTATTTGGTGAGTGGAGTATATTTTGTGGTAATGAGTTTTATAATTATCTTACATGTTAAAATTGTTTTGGAAACAATATTGTGTACTAAAACCAACAAAGTTAACTGTTGTAATGAATGTTTCAGGTTCTAAATTCAATTGATGCTGGAGCTACTTCTATTGCTGTAAGGGTTGATTTGCGAATATTCAAAATTCAAGTTGTTGATAATGGCCATGGAATTTCTTCAACAGATTTGGAAGAAATTGGAAAAAGGTTAGTTCATTGTTATGGTGTGAATTAGGATCAATTACTGCATGATTTGACTTGTGTATCTTTGTGTACTCCCGTCATTTGAGAAATAGGAAATGAAATGTCATTTTGAATTATTGAAAAGAATTGAAATTGAAATTTGGGGTATGAGAACGTAACAAGCTTGCTCCGAGCTTTCAAAGGAAATGTAATTAATTCGTTGTTTTAAACTAAAAACACTGTGAGGGAGAATGAAATTACAAATCAAATTGTAATTGAGAAAACTAAACCTCAAAACCCTTAAAACTTAAAATGTTCTTAAAGGGAAAATAATGAACTTCATGCTAATGTCCATTCAATGGTTATAAGATTTCATTTTTAAAATCTTTAGAAAAGGTAGATGTATAAAATGTTGTATTCAGAAGTAATTACGATATTTTGTTGTTGACTGACTCCAGGCTATTGTGGACTTTTCTGTCGTTATTTTTAGGTTTGTTAATAAGTGAGAAGTTTCATTTATTGGGATGAGTGGAGGGTTAAATGGTGGAATTTATTGTGCAGATGTTCTCTAGATTGTGAAATTTAATTGGAAGTGGATTAGATTTGGGTTAAAATGGGAATTCCTAATTAATTTTAAAAAAATAATTTTGTAAACAACTCAGAATATTAATGTAATATTTTAATTAACTATTATTACTCATTATTGAGTGAAAGTGTGAATTTTACATGTTTATGAAATGATGTATGATTAAAAGGCTAAGAACTCTAGGATTGTCTCATGGATAGGGTGGATGATGGTCTATTTCATGACCCGAGTATAGCTTGTGGATGGAAGTTAATATATTTAATCGTAGTAACATTATCTTTTGTTCATTTCATCATATTTTTAAATGATTTCAAAAATCAATCACTGTGTAAGAATTTTGAGAGGTAATCTAGTAAAATGTATTTGAGATTAAATAGTAGGAATGCTATGCATTCACTCATAAGAGCATTTAGCTCGCTTGGGCAGTAGAGTTTGTGTTTCTTCAAGAAGTTCATCTCTTGTGTCTGCTTTCTGCTTACATCATTCATTTTCTCTTGTCAGATTGTTAATGTCCTACCCTGGCCTGCTCAAGCAACATTTATCTTCACATTTCCTTTATATACTCTGTTTTATGCAAACTACCATGTAATAATTATTATAAGTACCATTAAAATGTTCTCTGTTTTGTAAGGTATTATTATATGTTGAAATTATAATGAATTTTTTTAACGTGCAATTATAAGACTGTCATGAAAAATCCTCATGCCTCATGAAAAATGTATCTTCAAATGATACACTGAATTGTAAATTGATTTAGTAGATTTACTTATTGAATTACATTTAATTTAATTTCAATTTTTTAATTAAATCTTAAACATTAAGACAAGCGGGGTAGCATTGCTACATATTAGTTTATTTTGAAAGTCTCCTGTGTTGCATAAGTCTACACTATCTTCATTTTGACTTTATAATCAGTCATAAAAGTGCAGTGTTTATTGAACTTATTGAAGTCAACCATCTGTAAAATGAAAAATATTTTTTCAAGCAAAGTGTCAATATTTTCCCTTAGAGATCAAACATTGCCACCCTCATTTATTTCAATGTCTGTGACAATGTTTAAATGTGAGAGTTTACATGTTTAATTTTGAAATAATTATCTTAATGTAGAAATATTACCCGTCCTCTATAGTGCAGATTATTTAATATGATGGACGTTGATGTAAAGGTTTGTTTCAGTCAATTTCATTTTGATTAACATGTTTGCAAACAGCATTTGCTAATACAAACTGCATTTAGTTATAGTTGTATGCAATGTTCCTGAGAATGGTAGCTAACTACAGAAACATAGCCAGTTAAGTAATGTGCAGTACAGCAGTTGCTATTTAAATTTTTCAAAGTTGTGGCAGTGTTTTAACATTTGCCGTATTACTGCATGCTACCTCACTATCTTTGGAAAGCTGCAATATAATTTGTAATTATAACTGAAGAATTGGTGTTTTACTTTATTAAAAAATGTATAATTTAATAAAAATTATTACAGAATTCTGTTTGAAGATTAAATATGTATTGTGTTAAGTTTGATAACATTGAACTTACATTGCTTTCTTCTGTGGGAAAAATGATGAGGACAAAAACTGTGAAGAAAGTCTCTCTCATGAATGGTAGCTGGTAGATTCCCTTGCAAGCTAGTTATTATAAATTTACTACGAGTTTGTTTTATGATTTTCAGGTCAGTCACAAGCAAGTGCTATACTTTAGATGAATTCTATACTAATTTAATGTACCATGGATATAGAGGTGAATCTTTGGCTAGTTTGCGTGAAATGTGTGGATTGTTGGAGATTGTGACTCGACCTGCAGACAGTAACACTACCTACAGCAAAGTGTTTGTTCATGGAGAAGAAGAGAAAGTAAAAATATCTGATTTGAAACGTCCTACTCATGGTACTACTATTACAATAACTGATTTTATGTTTAATATGCCTGTGAGACGGAAAAGAATAAAAGAAGCTGTTGAATTAGAGGCAATAAGATCATGTCTTGAATGTATTGCTTTGGCTCATCCTGAGGTATTTAAATGCATTTGTAGTGTGTATGTATTTTACATGAAGCGACATATCTGATAGTTGCACTTTGTTTTTTCAGATATCATTGAGTATAAGAAATGATGTCAAAGGACGAATTATTATGGAAAAACACAAGAGTTCTGACCTCTTAAATGCATTTGAGCATCTTTTTGGTCATAATTTAGCACGAATGTTGGCCGCTGTTAATTTCTCAACAGAAAAATTTAAAATTAGTGGATATATTGGTAAAGAACCATACAGACATAATGACTTACAATTCATTTTTGTAAATAGGCAACCAATAATAAAAACAAAACTTCACAAATTGGTATCTGCTCTTCTTTCGAAAAGCTCTATAGTTCGAACCAATGGACCTTGGAAAAATAAACCTATTCCTAAGGATGTTCCAGTTGAAAGATGGCTTTCATTTTCATCCCTGGAGAAACAAAAAAAATTTGCTGTTTTTGTGATAAATATAACTTGTGCTAGAAAGGAATATGAAAGATGTTGGGATGCCAAGATGCCATTGATTTATTTTAAAGATTGGGAAGGCATTATTTCTTGTGTAAGTAGTGCTATACAAGAGTTTTTGAAATTAGAAAATCTAATTGATGATGATGATTTAGAACATGGGAAGTCTGAAGATGAAACGGGAAATTATATTTCATCAGTTGAAGAAAAGCCTCAATCTTCACACACCTCTGTTTCTTTAGAGAATGTATCAAAGGTGAATCATCAAAAGGACATAGAAGTAGAAACTTGGAATATACAAGGTGCAATTCATGGCATTTATGCTAAGAGACCAAAAGAATGTACCACAGAATTTACTACTGGTGTATGTGTAAAAAGTGATGATCAGAAAATGGAGTCTATTAATGAAATTAATAGACAATTTAGGACACCTGGTACCATAAATTCAAGCCAAGAATGTTTGCAGAATGAACTAGAAAGCGTTCCTCCTGTTGTGAAATTTCTCAAAAAGTATGAGACTCCTGCTGCTTCTCGCCTCCAAATCACAAAAGGTGCTTACCGTTTGAAACAAAAAGAGGAAGAGGAGAAAAAACGAGCAGTTGCCAAGATGTTGGGTACATTTAAATTTCCTAGGAAGTCAAAATTAATTAGTTCTAAAAATTGTGAAAATGTTCAGAATGGTAAATTGACTTGTACAAAATATGTGAAAATGACTAACGAGCCATCTTTTCTTCAGCAAAAGATCAAAGAACATAAGAACATTAAGGAATTGAATACCAAAGTTGGTGGTCCCGTTGTTAGTAAATCATCTGACACATTGTCGCTGCAAACAGGAAAATATAGTCAATTGTGTTCTAATAGTAGACATCAAAATCAGGTTAATGCATGTCTACTTAAAAAGAAAAGTCAAATCTGCATGGACAGTGAATCTTCTGCAGATATTTCAAATTATTTCTCCTTTTCTCCTTCATCAACTGGTGACACCAATGCAAACACTACTTTGTGCATGTCTTCAGATAATTTCAGTTTTACATCAACAGAAGAAGTATCTTCCTATGAGAATGAAGATTCCAATGGCATAGCACTTTGTAATGATTCAGAACGATTCCCTTTGCAATCACCAGTTGATGAATCAAATGTCCATGTGAATGATAGTTTTCACCAGTCTTTCATGAAATCTGTAAATCCTTGCAAAAACCCATCATATTGTGACAAGAGAGATGGGAATGTATTCAGCAATAACGAAAATGTTTTTGTTTTGAAACATGGCAGTGGTGGTTCATCTCCTTCTGTGAAAGATACCCAAGAGTTTAATAATGACATTTCTTGTGTCAATGAGAATGCCAAAAATTGTGCAAATCTAGTTGTATCAAAAACGTTGGTATTGTCTATCCCTACCCCTCAATCAAAAATTATTCCTGTTCAAACTGCCACTTCATCTGAAATGATGGATAAATTTCATTGTTCCAAGAAACGTTCACTGAGACATCAAGCAAGTTTAGCTGACTGTAATGAAAATCATTATAGTTTATGTAAACCACAATCATCTTTTGTAAATGTTTGTAAATCACCCTGCCAAATTGATGATCACATTTCTGATAGTCGATTTGATGAATTATTTGCAAGCCAGGAAGATAATTTTAGTTCTGTTAAGGAGAACTTGAGAAAACAAAATATGTCAATGGTTATTCCGTCATTGGTAAACAACTGTGTAAACAAATCACAAAAGTCTGTAGAATGTTCACATAATGTATCTGATGCTAAAAATATGTTTATGCCATCCTTTGAACAAGAGAATGGAACAAATGAGTGGACAGTGCATGGAGTTGGTGAACAAGTGAAAACTGTCAAACAGACTAATGTTTCTAATTTGAAAAAGGACAGAAATATTAGGGACGTGTTTGAAACTTTTGAAAAGCATGTAACACCAGGTATTATAGAAAGTGTATCTCCATATTTTTCTATAAAGAATAATTCAGTTAATTATAAAGAACCAGTGAAATATAGTTTTAATTTAGAAGGAATCAATAAAAATAATGATACTGATGATAAGTTTAGGCAAAATAACAAAAGAGAAGAATGTGATGAGTTATTGTCAGTGTTAAATGTTGCAGGTACAGAGCAACATATGGAATTATTTTCAGATGTAGATAAAAGCAAAGAATTTTCAGATAAGGGAATAAATGTGCGTCCTGTTATTAACTTTTTATTTTCTGGGAGTAGTTCTGAGAGCAATCTAAAGTCCTGTACTAAAGAACTGGAAGAAGCTTCATGTGTTGATATCTCACAGACCTCATCTCAAACAAAAGGTTCTGCATCTCCATCTAATGGTTTAATGCATTGCAATGAGCTTAAAGAAAATTTCAGTCATGCAATAGATGTTCCTAAGAGAAGAAGATTGTCGCCAAGTAAATCTGATGTGGAGACAAATATTGAAGATAGATTGTTTGCTGCTCTCAAAAAGACTGAAGAAGTTATAAAAGAAGACCAATCCTTTGATTCGTGTGTGACTTCTAAATGTGAAAATATGAATGCATGTAATCAAGCAGATTCAGTTTTACCAAAAGAAGATCAATGTCAAAAGGAAACAGAAAATTCTGTTGATAAGATAGCCGATAAAGATTGGTTGCAAGTAAGAAACTTAAAAGGTAAACTGTTTTACTTTCATACTCCTAGTGGATTCACAACTTACCACGTACCTTCCATTGCCAAAGATGCTAGTATATATTCTATGAGCAAAAGATGTCAATTTTTACCAAAAGGTATGTCACCTCTGTTAGCTATACCTACTGATTTTCATTCTACTTTTGAGCAACAGTCCTTTCCTAATGTATCTGCAGATGCTTCACGTATGATAAAGAGTTCTTCAGACAATGATGATTTAAAAACTGTAAAGTGGCGGGAAAAACCAGACATTTTTAATAACAGTTAGTAAAATTTTTATTTATTTCTTTATATTTAGTATAAATATAAAATGTGTATTATTAAAGTTATCATGGGTTAACACATATGTTTTTTGTTAATTGATATCTGTTCTGTCATTTTAGATATTTCAGATGTGTTGAGTATTACTGAAGGACCAAGTGATAAAAAAATGTTATCCTCAAACACTTCAATCCCAGATTTATCTTCTGTAACATCAAAAATGTGTACCATGGTTCTTAAGCAAAAACTCGATAAGAGAATATTTTCCAATATTCAGGTGAGCCCTTCTTTAGTGTAAATTTGATTTGTGCATTTTTATGTTGTGGGTATGGAGGTTGACATAAAGAAATATTATAACTGTGTAAGCTCTCCCAGAAACATTTTTGATTTTTTGTTGAAATGACTGAAACTAAACTTTGAAGAGCCTTTGCACATGTGAATGTCTATAAAATATTTTCAAATTTATTGCAAAAAAATAAGGTTTTATTGTGCTATGCCGTGTATACAGTCATAAGTAATTATGTGACAAATGAATAGTGAGATAATTTCATTAATAATTTATTATATTCTTGACTTTATGTGGGAGTTTCTTCACAATAGATCAGCTGGAATAAAATGTGAGCTTTTGAAAGGTTGTTTTTTTATGATAATTATTGTAAGTTGTGTGAAAATTTGTTTTAAAATACCATACATTTGTCTAACTCTGATGAAGATGATATTGTCTTCAGCAAATATTTTATGCCAAAGGATTTATTGTAAAGAAACTTCCATATAATACAGAATTTCATTAAAAATACTTTAATTATGCTAATGCATAGGGAAATACATTTTTTTCCCTTTGTGCATTATCAATGTGGCTTCTGAAGTAATGACCAAGATTTCCATCGGCAACTGTATATAAATATTGTGATCTCCTGTAATAATGAAACTTGTAAGATAAAGTTGCCTTAACTTGTGCAATAATGGCTCTGGAGCACATCTTCCACCACACATTGATGATGATCAATTTTTGTCTAAAAGACAGATTTTTTCTAACTGGTCATATTGGGTAAAAATTTGTGCCCTGGGTAAAAGTTGAGATATTACCAATATTTTTGGAAAAGAAAGATCATGTTTTATGTTATATGCAAATACTTAGTCAGACTTCTGGCTTTTGGCAGTTGTGGCACATCTTTTTATACAATTATGGGTTAACTTGGAAAAGTTAGTTCAAATCTTAAAATTGATCTTCTCTTGTAAAGAGAAATCACAATAAATTAGAAATTAAGCATGAATGTTTTTTACTCTTTTGAACTAGGTTTTTTGATTATCATTGAAACATGTATTATCCTTCAAAAACAGATTGTGACATCAGCTGTAGACAATAATGTGATTGAGTAGATTTAGTGATAAAAACAGAAGTTGCCTCACCTTAAAAAAGGAAATATCAGATGCTGTTTTCTTATAATATTGTAATTTTTCATAAAGTTTTTTAGTCATATTGCAACTCTATTTACAAAATTTACAAAGTTAGTCAAATATTAAATTTTAACTGTTAAATATTTTACAAATCAGGTGAGAGATTTAATATATTCAGAAATCATATTAATGACATAATTCTGTATTTATGATCAAGACATCATATTAAAAATTAACTAATATGCATCTTAATCACTTACTTTTAATATTTAACAGTTATTAATTATTAATATAATAATTTGTAATATACAAATAGTAATATAATGTAATATACAGATAGTACATCCCTAATTAATATGTTTTTATGTGAGTAATTTAATAATTAAACAAGTAAATTGTACACATTAATTAAAATATATTATTAACTATCAATTAAAAATTTACATTTTAATTCAATCCTGAAAGATTTTTATTGATATTAGTTTGTTGGCACCTTTATTATAGACTAAGCTATTGTGAGAAACTTCCATCTACTGATTATTGTTTACAGGTTGTGGGGCAGCTTGACAATAAATTTATTATTACATTATGTTCTGAAGACAAAAATTCAAATCCACATATTCTTGGAATATTTGATCAACATGCTGTCCATGAACGAGTTAGACTGGAGGCTTTAATGAAAGGTACTGTTAACAAAAGACTACTCATCCAAAAAGAATGAACATAATACATTTGAGGCGCTTCAGGTTAAATTTTTTGAACTTTTAAATTTTTAATTTCAGTAGTAACTAATGGTATCCCAAGAGAGATTTTGAGCAATTTATTAATTTAACTTTATCATATGTGTACATAAACACAGAGTACAGTAATACAGTACCGTACATAGTATAGAGTTAAGTATGTAATGCTGTGAAAATTGATGTCGAAATTTTAACGGAAATAGTCTTGTGGATCCTCTAAAAAACCTTCATTTTTTTTCCATGTCCGTCCTTCCATCAGTCACTCTGTTTGCCCTGCCGTTTATATGACTGTCCATCCATCCGGCTATCCGTCCATTATTGTCATCTTGTGAACAACGCTAATCCTGGATTCCAAGGATTTTCCCCAAATGGAAATTCCCTAATCAAATGGGCTTGACATGAGGCCATGCAAATTTGAAACAAATCTATTAATACTTGCAGGTTCTTTCCATGAAACCTCTGGTACATTTTAAAAACTTTTTCAAAAATTTCTCCAATTTTTCTTTAAATGTTTAAAGAAGAAAATAGTTGAACCCATGAATGTGTTTCCAGCCAGCAAAAATATTTTGCATGGATGGGACCAATACTTAGGCATCTTGATTCTGTGAATTTCGGCCCTTGTCCATTTAGCTATAAAGACTTCGCTCGAAGTTCAAATATTTGTAAAATTAGTTTGCTAATACATTACAAAGAAATAAAAGAAGTCACAAAGATTACTCATATTTAAAAAAAACCTGTGAATGATTTAAAGATCTAATTTTGAGAAATAGAATGCATTCAAAAAGAGATATCTCAGTTCGATATTAAAAGCATAAGACTTTTTCGAAAATCATTTGGACTTTTTCACTATACTGCACACTATACCTTGTACAGCATCAATTCAATTCACTCAAAATTATTCGGAAACGACTAATGATGTGAAAATAATGTGTATCAAATGGTTTAAAGAGCCAATATTCAAGAATATAACTGCATTAAATAAGAAATATTCAGCTTGAAGATTGAAGGGGCAAAATGAATTTAAAAAAAAATGAACTTTTGCAATTTGTTTGTTGTATCTAGTTTCAAAGGTTTTAGGGAAAATCAAGGCCATGTTATAATGCAAAATATACTCAATTTGGGCCAAATATGTAAAGAAAAATAGGATTTTGTAGAAAATGGTAATATTATGCTTACTTTTATTTTTTCTCATACCACTGTGCAATTTTGAGTGAAATAAAGGCAATTTCGGAAATGCTCACACAACATTTTCTCAAAAATGGCTCCAATTTTTTCAGTGAAAATAGGCAAGTATGAACATGTTTTACTCTTAATATTTCAAACCTACTTATAAGAGACCAAACAATTTGGAAAATGTAAAAAAATAATTCCTTTAGGCACCAAGAGGTAGGAGCTGGGAAGAAGGTGGCATGAAACAGAATGTTTCTACAATTCAGGCTCTAGAGCATGCTGACAACCATGCTTTTTAGCCCTGGGGTTAAAATAGGAGGATAGCCCTCCCCAGCCCTGTTATGTAGTGACATAGCTCAATTTTCACCATATCATGCTTGAAAAGGACTATGATTGAATTATTTGCATTAATGAAGCACTAGGATGAAGGATATACTTCATTACTCATGCAATCAGTGGGAACTTGTTTACTCGTATGTAGTATTTTTGTACATAGGTGTTAGATAATCAAAATATGACAGAAATTGAAAAGAGAAGAGACAATATGTTCTGTACAATGCAATATCTTCTTAAAATTATTTTACCAACTATATTTTGTCATGACTTAAATAAAACCAAAGAGGAAATTTTAGGTGTGAAACAAAACTATAGGAAAAGATAAGTTCATAAATATTTCTTAAATGAAGTTTTATGGTCAAAAGAAAAAGAACATCAATACAGAATAATACTGAAGTGGACAACCTGATGTACACAGACTAGTGAGTGGATGCTGACGTGGATAGATGGATGGTTGAATAGTCAGACGAACTGAGTTTTGGGGTTAAAAACAAAACTTTCTCAGTTATAGGGACCCTTGAACTCATAGTTGCATCAAAATGTCTAGATCGAATTTTTGCATTATTTTATAACTTGCACCAATGTTTCTAATTTCTGAGAATTTTGGTGGTAGAATAAAGATAATTGGTTTCTTAACAGATATGTTGTACACAGGATATCTGAGAATAAATGTTTCATGCTAGGGGTGTCAAAAACGATCTCATTTTGCAATATTTAATGGGAAATTTCATTCATCAGTGTTACACATGCAACATACATCAAGCATTAACGCATGTTTTTACTAACTTAGTGAAAACTCTTGTACTGTTACTCCTACGTATTGAAATTTTGTTGGTGTGGTACAGTCTCTGTGCAGTTTCAACTGAAATGAACAACATTGAACAATGAATAATGACAATTAATGATTACATAATACTGGGGGATATTAATATAAATGTACTTGGAGAAAGCTGCGTAAAAAAGGAGTCGGTAAATAGTTTTAAAGCACTGGGACTAAACCAATTGGTAAAAAAGTCAACTAGAGTGCATAGTAATAGTCAGACAATCATTGATCTAGTATTCTCAAATGTAAACATTATGTTAAAAAGCAAGACACACCGTAAGTAACTGATCATGCCTGGGTTAGATTTCAAAGAAAAAGGTACAAATCGGAAAGAAAGGATAAAAATACATTAAAGAGACTATATAAATATTAGATATGGTCAATTTCAAGAAATATTCAGATTTAATATTAGACAATTAAAACATGAAAATAATGAAAAGTTAAGCAAGGAATTTGTAAAAGACATCGTAAAAGCCCTAGATGAGGTGACGCTATTTAAAATCTTGAAGGTGCACACAAAATGGAATGAAAGAAAATGGTATTGCGAAGAATTAAAATTGCAGTGCAAAAAGAGAGATGAAGTATACAAAACGGCTAAATTAATGAGAGAACCATAGAAATGAGAAGAGTACAAGAAGATAAGAAAAATTGTAGTTAATTTAGTTAAGAAAAAGAAAGTTGAATATTATACAATACTATTGACCACAAAAATTATAGTAAAGAATTATGGAAGATAATTAAGAAATTAACAGGGGGCTATGACTAAAAATATTATATTTGATGAAATTAGTGAAGAAATTATAGCTACCAAGAACTATTTTGTAAGTAGCATTAAAAGAATAGTACAAAATGCACAGGGAATCAAAATATTTACAAGCAAGATGAAAGATGGTGTGAAGGGGAATTTAATAAATTTGAATTGATCAAAAAAGAATTGCATAGAAATATCTATGCAACCAAACAAAAATGGAACAGGTGAGGGTATTACAACGAAGGTGTTAAAAGAAAATGATGAAATATGAGAAGCAGTATTACTGAAAATAATTCCCAAGAATAAGGGATTTTTCTGGAAAACTTCCACTGTAATATCAATGCCAAAATTGACAAATACAAAGTGAGCAGCTGAATTTAAGTCAATAAATAAGCTACCCATATATGAAAAAATATTAGATGAAATAGTAAAGAGAAGTTTAATTGAAACAAATAGAATGATAGGAAATGAACAATCTGGCTTCAGAGAAAAACAATCACGTGAAACTGCGATACAAGCATTTTTAGAAGAATGGAAGATTAATATTGATGCAGGAAAGAAAATAGGAGTTATCATTTTGGATCTCAAGAGGGCATTCGAAGCTATTGGCAGTACGAAGCTTATTGAGAAAATGTACAAATACAGAATCAAAGGTGACATTACAAAGAGGTTTATTTCATATCTTAACAAGATAAAGCAAAAAGTAAAATATAATAGTATTATCTCAGTAGAAATTAATGTAGATTTAGGTGTTCCGCAAGTGTCAGTTATGGGTCCAATATTGTTTATAATTCACATTAATGACTTAATCAAGTATATGAGAAACCTATATGAGAATGACAGTGGAATTCAATTATTTTCTGAAGACACCTTATTGTATGTAATTAGAGAAACAGAAGCAGAAATTGAATTTAAACTGTAGAGTGTACTTATTGCAATACAAAAATGATTAAGGGTAAATAAATTAATAATCAATGTTGAAAGGACTAAATTTATAATTTTACATAGTAGAAGCAACATAGAAATATGTGAAACTAAATTATTCCCAACTCACTTTGAGAAAATACAACAGGTATACAAAATGAAATATTTGGGAGTAATGTTCAATAGTAAATTAAATTTTAAACATTATATAGAGTATATAGTATAGAAAATTGGAAAAGAGATTAATTTTTTAAACAGAAGTGAGCAATATGTAAATGGCTATACAACATGTTTGATGTATAAATCCATAGTTGCAACACATTGTGCAACAATACTAGTTGGAGGCCAAAAAACTGAAATTAAAAACTTCAGATACAACAAAATAGAGCCATGAGAGTAATAATTCAATGCAATAGATAAACTTCAGTGCTAGATATGCTAGATACTCTGAAATTTATGTCATTAAAAGAGAGAATTCATTACAAGACTAATTTTTATTTCTAAATTAATAAAAAATCATTTAATAGAAGATTAAGTAAACAAAATCCAATGAGTGAAAGATAAAACAAGTGAAACAAGACAAGCTCAACAGTTAGTAATTAATTTCAGTAAAACTGTACAGGCAAAAAATAGATTATTTGACAAAGGATTTGAATTATAATAAATTACCCTTAGAAATAAAAAAATTGTGAACAAATAAAACAATTTAAAAGAAAATTTTAAGATACATAAAAGTAGAAAACCAATTTTGTAAAGAGTTAGTATGGTAAACCTACAGATGTGAACAATGTATGTAAATGTTTCTTTGAAATAGCTCAGAAGGCTAACCAATCTATCTATATCTATAAATGATTGGTCATGTACTTACTCAACTATGATATCAATATTTTAATGAAATGCATCTTAAATGTTAGGAATTAACATTGTGTGTACGTGTGCTGTGTTTCAAGTCATTTGGTAAAGAGAAATTTTGCTAATGATGACTAAAATGTCAGTAGAGTAACAAGTGCAATGTGATTATTATAATTTTAAGTATATCCAATAAAGAATTCCAGAAAGGACCATAGACATGTTCTTTCATAGTGGTATGATGTAGCACTACTAGTTTGACTTAAAATAGTAACAAATAAGTGAGTGTAAGGTATAATATTACAAAGAAAAGAAAATTTTAATGTGATGTCAGAGTTGATGTTAAATGTAGTAGGATAATAAAAATTTTTCTTTGTAGCATATTCGAGCAATGAGGATGAGTGGTCTTTCACAGCCACGGATCTGGATGAACCAGTTGTTCTCAACGTAAGTTCAAAAGAATTTCACATAATGAGCAGCTTTCAAAACAAGTTTCAGAAATTAGGACTTCATTTCTGTTTCATAGAAGATAATATAAAAATTCATAAAATTCCAACCTGTTTACACACTCGTTTTTTGCGTGAGGTACGTATGCATGCTTTGAGATAATACATATTTCAGGTATTTTGGATTATTATATGTACTACTAAATGTTGACATCTATGTTTACTCTTCATTGATAGCGATCCAGTCAGTGGTTAAAAGAAATTCTACATATTTTAATTCAGGATGTTGTGCTCTTTCTGATAAAAACCGGTGGACAGGATATAGTTGTACCGGAAGTGTTCAAGGAAGTTATCAATTCAGAAGCTTGTAAAGGTATTCATCACATTTTCAATTACAATATAAAATTAAAAATCTCTATGTTAAATACTTATTGTGCGATTTATTTGTATTATAGTAAAATTGTAACAAGGTCTTTTAGATTTAAAAAGTACCACCTTTTCATCTGTTGTGAACAGTAAGTTTTGGTGATTCACTTATTTTTATTCCATAGGTGCTATCAAATTTGGAGACCCTTTGTCTGTTGTTGAGTGTGAAAGTTTACTCTTGGACCTTAGCAAATGTGATTTACCATTTTATTGTGCCCATGGACGACCATCGTTCATGCCTCTTTTTGATTTAAGGGAGTTTGAAGAGGAAAGACAAAAACACATTCAAGGATATTGATGCATTTTCTGTTGTGGTATTGTGTATTTGTTATTTGTACATAACATTATTCGTATATGATAATTGAAGAAAAAAAGTATACCTGTGTTTGTGATCTTTGAATTGTAAGATTCTGTTAATAATCGTGTAAATTGTATATAAGAAATGCAATTTTTAAACTTTTCATTTTTTAAATTTCTATTAATGCTGAAAAAAACAACCAGAATTTGTTAAGTTTTATAATCATAGAGATCATGTGGTGTTAATTGACTTTGTTAATTTTTAGAACTTTGTTTGTTCACAAGAAAATAAGTGTATGTTGTGAATATATTAAGTATTGATAATTCTTCAATTTTTTTTACGATGAGATGAATCATTTTTGTTGAATTATATTTTGATTGTGTTGGTAAACAGGTCAAAAGATTAGTTGTATCTATTGTATACTGAATGTTTATTTCTGGTAATGATCATGTTCTGTTACGTATGAATTATATATCTTTTGTTATTGCTCTTTTGATGTTATGCTCTGGAAGTTTTCCTTTTGGATACTTAAATCCTTGATGATGATGATGATGATGATGATGATGATGATAATAACAACAAATTATATTAATTAACCATACAATCTGCAACGCTTAATAGAAATTTCGCAACAATGCCGCATCGATATTTGAGAAGCACTTGTTTTGTTATCACATACTGTGAGGAGGCCAATTTTAATGTCGCTCCTCCTCGGCCCCGATTGAACTGTTTTAAACAAATGAGGTACCAAAAAAAGAGAAATTATATACTGAATAGCTCGCAGACTTCCTTTATTAATAAAAGGGCTACGAAATTCGCGTTGTTTGAATTGTGCGGCTAAAATGTGAACAGGAAAATGGCGTCTTGCGCATTTTCACAAGTTAGCGCGAAAGGGGAGAGTAACATTGTCGACTCCGAGCAAGTTCTTGCTTGGAAAACGTGTTGCGTCATTAAAATGTTGTAATTGTAAATGTTTGTCATTGTTACTACCGATGATATTACTAATTGTATTTAATGAACTTTCCTGAATAGCTGAACCCGTGCGATCTTATCGCACAAAGAGAGCTTTAGAAAAGTTACCATAGAAAATACTGCATTTTCATTCAATACTCCATGAATATTCACCTATTTTATATTTACCAAGATCCTACACATATGTACATGGATATTGTGTTGGACTATAACAGCAAATACTTAATCGTAATACCTTATCGTAATGGCTGAATTGTTTAATCTCGTCACCAAAATTTTTGTGTAAAGGGACATATATATTGAGATTACTAATCATAATTGGACTAAGAAACTTGTGACAATTTTTGTTCTTTTGAACTGAACTGAAAGCTTTCATTTCACTTTAACGCATACTTTAATCTAAAAAAAAAGATAATTAAACATTTAACAGAAAGATAATACTTGGATCACTCAAGGAATTAGAACATCAGGTAAAAACAAACGTACGCTTTACTTTATTTCTAAACATCATAACGTATCACTCGCTTTCCATGTCTGTTTCCGAGAATTCAAAATATTAAGGAAAGCAATAGTTCGGGCAAAAAGAATGAAAAATAATCAGGATATTTTTAACGCATGTAATAAAACTAAAGCAATATGGAATATCATTAAAAATACGACCATATCACCTCGATACTTAGTAGACAATGTTGTTTTAAAGGATAATGAAAGTGAAGCAAGTAAACCGGAAAAAGTGACTTATCTCTTCAACCAACACTTTACCAGAAATGCAGCTGAACTCACGAAGGGACTTTCATTGCTTCTTTATGCACAGGAATATATCAAGATATTTTCAAAACAGCAAAAAGTAAGCCACATTTTAAAAAAGGGAACAAAAATGAATTTCAAATTTCTCTTTTGTCAGTTTTCTCAAAAATAGAGAGGTTTTTCTATACGCGAATAGAAACTTTTCTCAGGAAAAACGAAGCGTTTTCAGACTCAGAACTCGGTTTTAGAAAATCAAAATCTACGAAATCTGCCATTTTTTCTTTTCTTAAAGATGTTGCTTCATCAGTGGACCAAAATGAAGCATCCATTGGAATATTGTTAAATCTTTCGAAAGCTTTTGACGTTATTGACCACAACATTTTGCTCAGAATTGTCTTATGGAATTCGTGGTATCGCCCTAGATTGAATAACCTCGTTCCTTAAATATCAATCTTAAAGAGTAGAAATAGTGTACTGCCACGAAAGGAAATTATTTACTAATCTTTCCGATTCTTTGCCAATATGAATATGGGGTCCCGCAAGTCTCGATCTTAGGAACTATCCTCTTTCTGTTATATGTAAACGTTATGCTCTTGCCTATTAAAAACGGAAAACAGTTCTGTTTGCCGTTGACACGCATGTTCTTTGCAAAAAAGAAACAATAAATAGTACGGTTTCAAGTTGGTTTTGTAATAACAAATTAATAATTAACGAAGGAAAAACAGTTTTAAAAGCATTTTTGCGTTTCAAATCAGCAATCGCATGCTCCATTGAAAATGTACAATATGCAATTAGCTGATGTTACGGAAACAAAATTTCTAGGTCTTTCAATTCAGTCAAACCTCAAATGGAATGTACATATAACAGAAGCAAACACTAAATTAAGTTCATTATGTTACGCGTTCAGAATTCATTCAAATTCTGTCAGCCTTCATGCAGCTCGCGTGTATTTGGCAAATGTGCATTCCCGCATGAGATATGGTATAAAATTCTGGGGAAACTCATCATGTTGTACTCAAACATTTAGATTGCAAAAGAAAATTATTCGAATAATGAATAAATGACATTCGCGTGATCCTTCTCTTCATTGAGAGTGGAATCTTACCATTTATTTACGAATCTGTAATATTTGTCAAAACTGACTTACTTAACAGTGGGAACCTATTTTCATGCAATACCGATATTTATTATTACAACGCACGTCGTAGAAATCACATTCATTAAGTGTCAGTATCAACACATCACTACATGAAATCCACATACAATACATGTACGTTACTTTACAACGCATTGCCAGATGACATTAAACAACTGAAGTCGGTACACAAATGTAAGTTAAAAGTAAACTCTTTTCTACTGCATAACTGTTTCTATACAATTAGAGACTATACTGATCAAAAAAAAGAAAAATAATGTGTATTTAACAAAATAGTGATATATAATGAATTAGTTTACATTTGTATTGTATATTTTTTTAAACAGATTTAATGTGCTTGTAACATATAATGTACCTCGGCTTCCAGGCCAATGACCCCCATCTCAATCAGGTTTTTGTCCAGTTTCTCTGAGACATTGAGCAAATGCTGAGATGGCCCCTTGTTTTGCTTCTGGATTTAAATGTAGCTTCACTAAGCGCACATGTTGAAATCTCCTTTTGCTTGTAGTGGTAGTTCGAAATGCAGCAAATCATATCTGAAGTTCCTTTACCGTAGCAAAAACGTTTTCTATAACTGGGGGGCGAAAATGTCTAGTTTTTCAAATGTCGCTAATCTCGTTTTTTTAAATGTATTTTTATTTATGTATCTTTAACTTTTACTCATTTTTCAACTATTTATAATGAAAATGATGGGAAGGGATTCTGGAACTCAAGAAAACGTGAGTAGATGATCTTCTCCCCCATACGTCACATACAGTTTTTTACTGTTTTTGACTAAATAAGTCTAAATCTGATAGGTAAAATTTGTTGATAGACATGTTGCATAATGACATTGATTTGATACTAATAATATTGATGAAAAAGAGATCAGGTGTATGTTATTTTATTTTGATGTATGCTGAATTATTTGTAAGTGTTCTGTAAGTTGTTTGCTAATACTGCTTTAATGTAAGTAATATTATCTGCAGAACGTTATGAAATAGATCCAGTATCCATCTCTGAAATTATCACACGCTGTGCATTCCGATGTACACTTCATATAAGTATTTTAAAATGTATACAGAGAGGGAGTCGTTCATATGTTTATATATATATATATATATATATATATATATATATATATATATATATATATATATAACAGGTAAGACGTGCTTACACACTTAAGACTAAGAAATGAACCACACAGAACGGTACCCAAAATCGAGAATCAAATTGGCGCGAAGTCGATAAAAGAAACTAACGCCATATGGGCCATGGACACAAAGTGATACCTTGAAATCGATTCTCACATCCAACAAATAGTAAACCACAATGTCTCACAGCCAATAGATTTGGATTTATTTAGTCAAAAAACAGTAAAAAAACTGTGTGATGCATGGGGGAGACGATAATCTGCGCACATTTTCTTGAGTTCCAGAGGCCCTTCCCATCATTTTTACAATAAATAGTTGAAAATGAACAAAAGTTAAAACAAATTTAAAATAATAATGATATTTTTTTAAATAAGCGTGGTAGTAGTGGACATATGAAAAACTAGACATTTTCGTTTCCAAGATAGAAAACTTATTTGCATCGGTAAACGAACTGCAGATTTTATTTTCTGCAGTATTAACAAAATAGTAACTCGTCCTTACCTCTACTCCTACCATTACAAGCAAAAGGAGAGTTCAAAATAAACGTGCGCTTAGTGAAGCTACATTTACGTCCAGAAGCAAAGCAAGGGGCCTCTGCATTTGCTAAGTGGATAAGGGAAACTGGAAAGAACCTGATCGAGATGGGGGCCATTGACCCGGAAGCTGAAGGATATTATTTGTTACAAACATATGAAGTCTTTTTTAAAAATTATTATTAGGTACGTAACCATAGACTAAGAAGGCATACACAGCATTACTCTATGACGTAACAATGTAACAATATATATCGTATAAGCTTTTTGATCGAGCATCCCTGCCTGCAGGAGATTTTAATCCACTTTTAAATAGTGGGAAGTTGACGCACTTAAATAAAAAAGTTATTATACTGTGTCTTCTTTCGAGCTTCTACCATTTTTCCTTTGAATGATAGAATGTGACCCCTATGTGTGTTATCAGACATTATTTGTGTTGATTCACTAGCATTTACGGTGTAAATTAATTAAATAAATAACTTTTTATAATACGCTTATCAGTAGTCAATTGTTTTCTTCCAAAGACTGTTTTAATTGTCGCGTTAAACATAATCCTTTGACGTAAATAAGTTGTTAAGGTATCATCCAATCGGGAGTTTGAACGTCACTAGTGGCATTCCAGCTCCCGATTGGATGACAGTGACAGCTCATTTATGTCACCACACTATGTTTAAATCGAAGTATAGTTATGAGAATATCGATAGATGTAAGTCCTCGCTGCGAATATTGTTTACAATATGTCAAGATTCTATTTCATGAGTAATAATTGCTTTTTGGTACTGACTGTGTTTGCATATTTTCGTTACGTAGACCTTCGGTCAGTGGATTTTGTTCGGTTTTACTGAAGTAGTGAAGTTTGTGCAAACGTTATATCTCATTTCGAATTGTCCATGCAGATGACGTGACAGTGGAGTAATTTTGTTGACTGTTGGTCTTAATCTATGAAATGTCAGTTTTGTTCTGCTTTCCACGTCCCATGTGAGAGAAATTCTGCAAACCAGTTTACT